AATTTCAGCACCTGAACAGCTCAAGTCCCATTGCGCACAAAGCTATCATGTAAAGCATGTGGTAGTCTGTGTTTGAGAGGAAGAGAACAGCGCAGAGGGGGTTAAAAAGCAGGAATGATCAAGGCATGTCAGCAGCATTGACACTGTGAGGGACAACAAGTTTAGTGGAAAGACCATTGAATAAATAGAAGTATTCACAGTGGGTTTACAGGATACCTGAAAGGCTGTAACAATCATGAGCCATGTGCTATGGGTGTCTACTGACTTAAAACACTTTGGTATGCTTCAGTTGCCGGGGAAGTAAAATACAAGTGGACACGGGGGTGTTTTCAGAGGTTCTGAGGAAAAAAAGGTAGGGATAAAAAAATACCCAAGCCACCACTACACTTTTTTACGTGGTCATATGGGACACTTGTAAAACATTCATGGTCCTTTTTCATAGCAAAATCTCTTATTTTTCTGCTGTTGGAATTCAGCATCAATGTTAAAAAAAAAAAATAAAATGTGTTGCTCTCTGTTCAGCAGAGAAAAATTAAACTCTTTCAAATGGAATTTGTCCCTCTTAAAGGAATAGTTCACCCAAAAAAGTGAAAGATTGTCATTTGTTCACCCTTATCTTTCCAAACCTGCATTCTTTCTTCTGTGGAATACAAAAAAAGTTCTGAGGAATGTAGTGGTCAATCTTTTTCATACAATTAAAATGAATGACTACTGAAGCTTTCAAGCAAAAGAAAAAAATGACACAAAAGATCCATCAAGTACTTTTATGATACAAGAAGTATCATAAAAGTACTTCATAGAACTCAAATTTCAGTAGTTATTCACTGATAATCTTTCCCTCGATAGAGCTTCAAATGATCCTTTTGTGTTCCACGGAAGAAAGTCAGTCATATGTTTTGGAACTTGAGGTTTCATCATCCATGAATTATAAAATTTATTTTTTGGGTGAATTATTCCTTTGAGATTAGGGATGTACTGATCTAGGCATCAATAAAATAATGGAAATTATGAAAGATATAAAAAAATAATAATAAAATAAAACTAACATTTAGGTGTTTTGACAGATAACTGACAAATGGCCAATTTTACACTATTTAAAAAATAAATAAAGAATATAAAAATAGAGGCAACAAGTGAATTTAAGCATCAATATAACTGAAGTTCTAAAAGATGGAAATGGAGATCTGCTACATATTACATACTGATATTAAAAAATACATAAATAAATAAAACATTGGGCCATAACCAAAATGGTACCGATGCATATTACATCCCTATTGACAATGATTTAAAGACAGGGCAGTATTGTGAGAAAGGATATTTTTACATATGAATCTCAATTCCAAGGTGGCGAAGAAGCCACTTCTGACCAATTTTGGAAAGACCCTCCTTTTTTTTGTGATGAGCTGGCGCTTCCACGGTCTCCATTCATCTCTAGAAAATTCCAGGAAGCTCTCGTTCCTCTGTTATCTCCTTCTGATGTATTAGTTTCCACTCTAATGCAAGCCTGATAAGCTCACACTTCTCAAATTCCTAGTGTTAAGTGCATGGGAAAAAAAAAGTCTCTCCCATCTCTACTGTAACCCAATCACAGGACTGGCAGTCTGAAGCTTTATCTGGGTTAGGAGTGTGATAAAACACTTGTGTGATATCGGGACCGCACCTTATCTATCCTTCTATCCATGACTGCTGCCTTTAACTTATCGCCTGTTCTTGTGCTTTTAGAGCAGCCACTATTTCAGTCCTATTACTGACATTTTTTAAGAAACCCATGATGCTGACGGCTATACAGTAATGTCTTATTAATCACATCCTGCCCCGTGCCAGGTGCTGAAACGTGGTAATTGGCTCCTTGTTAGACGTCAGCATGATTGACAAAGCACATTTAGAGGCTGCTCTGTCTCATCTATCATGGCACGTCCCCCTATTTGAGGAGGCACAGACCTAATCAAGTCAACCATTCATACCCCACCTTCAAGGATTCCTTATTTTGATGGAGGAGTGCATTCAGAAACCTGTTTTTTCATACTGTATGGCCAATGTGTACATGTACTCATCATTGATTTTAAATGATTGATAGTTACTGATACACTGTAAAAAGTGAAAATGTTACTCTAGAGGACTAGTTCACCCGAAATGAAAATTCTGTCATCATTTACTCACTCTCATGTTGTTCCAAACTTACTTTCTTATGTGGAACACAATGGAGACATTTAGCAGCATGTTCACACTGCTCTTTTCCATATAATTAAAGTGAATGTTGACAAGATACTTTCAAGCCAAAATGTGAAAAAAGCACCATAAAAGGGTTGGAGCTGAACTCTGCAGGACTGCGGCTCTCTAGGACCGAACTTGCCTACCCCTGAACTAGCCCAACCGCTATTTCAACCTGACCTGCCCCTTAAAAATGACTTTAATTTGCTGTAACCTAATGTTACTCTAGAGGACTAGTTCACCCGAAATGAAAATTCTGTCATCATTTACTCACTCTCATGTTGTTCCAAACTTACTTTCTTATGTGGAACACAATGGAGACATTTAGCAGCATGTTCACACTGCTCTTTTCCATATAATTAAAGTGAATGTTGACAAGATACTTTCAAGCCAAAATGTGAAAAAAGCACCATAAAAGAAGTATACATTAAGGTTCGTTAACACCAAGAACAATAAAGATAACAATATTAGCAGCCACATCAATGGACGATAATGTTCTGTTTATTATAAGTGCGCATTGTAGATATGTCATCTGCCACTTCAAATGCTCAAGCTCTTTAAAGCAGGATGGATTCTGACCGGCAGTCAATATTTGTATAATTCATCAGCTGGAAAAAATTGCTCTTCAAGCGATTCCAGTGATATCGTTCTTCTGTGTCATTATCTATTATCATTGTATTTGTGGTGTGGACTTCATAAAATTCTCATAAAATACAAATAAATAAATTCTCATAAAATTAGAACAATTATTAAAACTTTATAGTTATATGTAGTTATTCTTGGTGTGATCAGGCCTTTACTTACTGTACATGCTATATTCTAAGTGTTCTGAAACCATATGTTAGCTTTGCATGAGGAAAAGTAAGAAATGTATTAAAAGCCATTATTAATTGATAATCTGTTCCCCCAGTGCCCAGGGGTAGGCAAGTTCGGTCCTAGAGAGCCGCAGTCCTGCAGAGTTCAGCTCCAACCCTGAAAAAAAACCTCACCTGCCTATAGCCTTAGTAATCCTGAAGACATTGATTAGCTTGTTCAGGTGTGTTTGATTAGGGTTGGAGCTGAACTCTGCAGGACTGCGGCTCTCTAGGACCGAACTTGCCTACCCCTGAACTAGCCCAACCGCTATTTCAACCTGACCTGCCCCTTAAAAATGACTTTAATTTGCTGTAACCTACTGTGGCCTGGTTGATTCAGTCATATTAAATGGATCCAATTAAATATTTTTACTTATATAAAACCAGTTACTTTTATGTTATCACATGAAGCACATTTTAGGCCATCTGACAAAAATATTTTTTGCAGTGTAGCACTAGTAATAAAGGCATCTGTCTCTGACATTAAAAGGTCTATGAAATATGAAGTATGCATATCATTTCTATATCTAGAAAAAAATATTGAGCTCTTTCCACCACTGCTTGCCTCATACTAGAACAGAATCCTAAAAATCTCAAATTGCTGAGAGACTTTCGAGGGTTGCACTGTGGAAAGATGTGCAGACTTGCACGGTCTGTTTGTGCCTGCAGGACTGTTTGGCTATTTGTCTTCTGTAATAAGCAGGTATTTTTAGGATATTTCTCTATGAAGTCTGTCTCAGCTATAGAAAACACTTGACCTGCACCTCCTCACCTTTTCCACCGGGCTCCTCGTTATTCGCACAACACCAGTCCTGAAAGCTCCTCCGCTGACACATTCTTGTTTTCCTCTTGTTTTGTTCTTATCCCTTACAGACTGTGGAGAGCATACGGGAAACAGCGATGGACAGGCGGATGATCTGCAATGGCCTCCACTAATGGCTTCAAGAAGGAATTAATATCATTCTTTCACACCAGTGATCCGCACTTAACCACAACTTTGTCAAAACACGTTCAAGCTCCCCTGCAACACAATCAGACAAAAAGAAACAAATGAATAAAATTAGAGCGGCCTAAGGAAGCTGAGTCAAAGCTAGCACAGATGCCAGCCTTTCTTCTCCTTTAAAGTTCAGTGTTACTACATAGGTGGTCTGCCTCATCACCCTCTGCCTGCTTATTATCTATCAGACTCCATTTAATGAGGCATCAGAAGAAAGGCGCAACCATGTACTTACTGCAAGTGTTTGTACTACAGGCCCTGTGGGTGAGTTGGTGTCACGCCACACAGCATTACCCGGCCTCATGGGGGCACTATGATGTTTGTAAGTCCCAGGTTTATGCAGAGGACCGGCTGGCCTGGCACTACATGGCCTGCCAGCCTGAGGCCACTGATATGACCAAATACCTGACAGTGTCTCTGGACCCACCCAACATCACCTGCGGAGACCCACCTGAGATGTACTGCGCCCTGGTGAGTTTGATACATACAAGAGAATCACATAACTAGTATATACAACAACACACTGCATTGCTATGAAGCTAGAATACTTGATCCTGATTGGTCAATTGTGGCATTCAGCAGTCAACATTTTTGTATAGTGACCTCTTAAACTATATGTTTATCAATTGTGACAGGCAACGATGTCCTACATAACTTTGCTAGTTTCATGTCTCTTGTGTAACTCATGAAAAAAAAGGAATCTGCACAACAAACAAATTTAATGTTCAGGGTCATTTGAAAAAAATCGTGATTTACTGAAGATAAATATAATGTGACAACAGAAAACCAAAGTACGCAAAAAAAACCAAAAAAACTGCACTTTTTCTTCTCACGTAATGAAATAATTTCAACTCAAATTTCATATCAATTTATTTATTTATTTATTTGATAAGTAGCTGCATAACACACTACCGTTCAAAAGTTTGGCAGGCCCTGTGGGTGAGTTGGTGTCACGCCACACAGCATTACCCGGCCTCATGGGGGCACTATGATGTTTGTAAGTCCCAGGTTTATGCAGAGGACCGGCTGGCCTGGCACTACATGGCCTGCCAGCCTGAGGCCACTGATATGACCAAATACCTGACAGTGTCTCTGGACCCACCCAACATCACCTGCGGAGACCCACCTGAGATGTACTGCGCCCTGGTGAGTTTGACACATACAAGAGAATCACATAACTAGTATATACAACAACACACTGCATTGCTATGAAGCTAGAATACTTGATCCTGATTGGTCAATTGTGGCATTCAGCAGTCAACATTTTTGTATAGTGACCTCTTAAACTATATGTTTATCAATTGTGACAGGCAACGATGTCCTACATAACTTTGCTAGTTTCATGTCTCTTGTGTAACTCATGAAAAAAAAGGAATCTGCACAACAAACAAATTTAATGTTCAGGGTCATTTGAAAAAAATCGTGATTTACTGAAGATAAATATAATGTGACAACAGAAAACCAAAGTACGCAAAAAAAACCAAAAAAACTGCACTTTTTCTTCTCACGTAATGAAATAATTTCAACTCAAATTTCATATCAATTTATTTATTTATTTATTTGATAAGTAGCTGCATAACACACTACCGTTCAAAAGTTTGGGGTCAATGAGATTTTTTTTTTTTTTAAGAAATTAAAACTTTTTATTCAGCAAGTAGGCATTAAATTGATCAATTTATAATGTTACAAAAGATTTCTATTTCAAATAAATGTATCACCGTTTCCAACAAATTTAAAGCAGTACAGCTGTTTTCAACATTGATAATAATGATAAAGGTTTCTTGAGCACCAAATCAGCATTTTAGTGTGATATCTGAAGGATAATGTGACACTGAAGACTATAGTAATGACTGCTGAAAATTCAGCTTTGCCATCACAGGAAATTACACTTTAAAATATATTACTGCAGAAAAAAATTATTTTAAACTGTAATAATATTTCACAATATTACTGTTTTATTGTATTTTTAATCAAATAAATGCAGCTTTGTTGAGCATAAGGGGCTTCTTTCAAAAACTCTTAAAACACCTAACATTTATATGGAAGTCTACTCCAGATAGCCATAATATAATAAATTAAATACTGGGCAAAATAAACCCAGGTGAAGCATATACACTTTTATCCATGTGGCATGTTACAAAGCTAGACATCTGGACTTTTTATATATATATTTTTTTATTTAAATATTAATCTATTTCATGCTCACTGAATTCACAACATACTCTTTGAAAATCTCACAGATGGTGAACAGAACTGCAGCAAGGTGTTAATGTGCTAGCATGATAAATGTGCTAGCAGTTAATAACAACAGGCTGAATTATCTACACATCACATAACGATATACTAATAAAAGTATACTAATAAAATTGTGCATACATATGTTTGATAAACTGCAAATCTTTTCATTATATATATATATATATATATATATCTATAT